TCTCTCTCTCTCTCCTCTCCTCCCCTCTCCTCCTCTCTCTCTCCTCTCTCCTCTCTCTCCTCTCTTCTCTCTCTCCTCTCCTCTCTCTCCTCTCCTCTCCTCCTCTCTCTCTCCTCTCCTCTCTCTCCTCTCTTCTCTCTCTTCTCTCTCTCTCTCCTCTCTTCTCTCTCTCTCTCCTCTCTCTCTCTCTCTCTCTCTCTCTCTCTCTCTCTCTCTCTCTCTCTCAGCTTGCATTTTCTCAACTCCTTGTTCATTTTTGGGTTTTTTTTTTTTGGTTTTTTGGGTTTTTTTTTTTTTTTTTTTTTGGTTTTTCGAGACAGGGTTCCTCTGTGGCTTTGGAGGCTGTCCTGGAACTCGCTCTGTAGACCAGGCTGGCCTCGAACTCGCAGAGATCCACCTGCCTCTGCCTCCCGAGTGCTGGGCCACCACCGCCCGGCTCCATTTTTTGTTTTTTTGAGACAGGGTTTCTCTATGTAGCCCTCGCTGTCCTGGAGCTCACTCTGTAGACCAGGCTGGCTTCAAACTCACAAATATCTGCCTGCCTCTGCCTCCGCCTCCAGAGTGCTGGGATTAGAGGCATGTGACACCACTGCCTGGCACAGCTCCTTGTTTTCATTTATTGATGTAAGAGTCTTTTGTTGCTCAAACTGTCTTCAAACTCACTACATAGCCAGACTGACCTTAAACAGCAGTGCTCCTAGTTCAGTCCCCAGGACTGGCGTTGTAGATGGAAGCTACCCTGCCTGGCTCTAATAACACATTTTTTACTACATAGCCAGACTGATCTTAAACAGTAGTGCTCCTAGTTCAGTCCCCAGGACTGGCATTGTAGATGGAAGCTGCCCTGCCTGGCTCTAATAACACATGTTTGTTTTGTTTTGTCTGAGCCAGAGGCTCACATCACCCAGGCTGGATTCAAATTCACTATGCAGCTGAGACTGGCCCTCAATTCCTGATTCTCCATCCTTTGCCTCCCAAGTGCTGAGATTACAGGTGTGTGTCACCATACGAGGCCCTTTTTGGCTTTTTTGAGACAAGGTCTCCTGTAGCCCAGGCTCTCCTTGACCTTGCTAAGCAGTGAAGGCTGGCCTTAAATCCTGATCCTCTGCCTCTTAAGTGCTGGGATTACACCTTGTGACAAGATGTCCAGGTCATCATTCTGTGTGTTAACTTGGCAATTTGTGTCCTAAGGAAGAAGGAGCAGAAAACCTGGAGTAGTTTGGGAGGATCTGATGCTTTGCTGATGTCAGGAACACAGAGGCTTTCATTCTGCTCACCCTGAGTTTTATTCCTTGTGACCTCACAGTTGCTTTTTGAGAGATGGTTGCAACTCAAACATACCTGTGCAAGTAAAGTTTAATTTGATAATCTTTAATCAAGTTGAACTGTTGAGCAAGCTCTCTGCAACAACAACTGCATTTGCTTACAGCACCAATCGTCAAACTTGAATACAACGCACATGGCCAGGTGATTATCCTGAACCGCAGCCCAGACGAGCTGACTTCAGTTGGGCTAACAAGAGTCTCTATTCCATAGTCATCAAGGCAGCCCCTGTAATCCCAGCAATTAGTAGGTAGAAGCAGAAGGATTGGGAATTCAAAGTCAACTTCAACTGCTCCTTTTGAGTTTTCTTCCAGACAGGATTTCTCTGTGTAGCCCTGGCTATCCTGGAACTCCTAAAGATCTCCGTTTCTGCCTTAACTTCACTCATCTTGACTTCAGATACTCTGTAGTGAGTTAGAAGCCAGCCAGCCAGCCAGCCACACTAGTGACTTGTCTTAAAAACAAAACAAAACAAAACTAAGCCAGACAGGTGGTTGTAGCACATGTCTATAATCCCAGCACTCAAGAGGCAGAGGCAGGCAGATCTTTTTTTGTTTGTTTGTTTTGTTTTTTCGAGACAGGGTTTCTCTGTACTGTTTTGGAGGCTGTCCTGGAACTTGCTCTGTAGACCAGGCTGGCCTCGAACTCACAGAGATCCGCCTGCCTCTGCCTCCCGAGTGCTGGGATTAAAGGCGTGCGCCACCACCACCTGGCTTGCAGGCGGATCCTTATGAGTTCAAGGCCAGTCTGGTCTACAAAGTGAGTTCCACGACAGGCTTCAAAGCTACACAGAGCAACCCTGTCTCGAAAAACAAGGATTCCCAGAAGCTGGACATGATAAGTCACACCTGTAATCCAAGCAGAGACGTGGACACAGTTTTTTTTTTTTTCTGAAATTCAGATTGTATTTGTCTTTGAATAGTGTTTACTCCACTGGTTTTTATTTCACTATCTGAAGGTGGTAATAGTCATAACCCTGATGTGATCTAGTCTTGAGGGTCGGGTGAGTCAGCCAGCCTGTGAAAAAGCAATGCGTAGCACCACAGTTTCCTTAAGCACAGCCCCCTCCCCCTTACCCTTCCTCCTCTCCAACTTCACCCTGACCGCAGATGAAGCAGGACAGCAGGGTGTGGGCAGATTGGGATGTACTTGGTGAAAAGAACGAAGTAAAATATCATAATAAATCAGACTCTCTTTGGGGCTTTTGGTTTTGCCTTTTAAAATTTTGGTTTTCTTCTCTTTTGGGTTTGCTTGTTACAAAAGAAAAGCCAGTGACTTTTAAAGATTGATGAACATTTAAAAATTATGTATGCGTTTTTTTGTTAAGATTCATTTTTGTTTCCGTATGTGTGCTAGTATGTGCACATGTGTGCAGGCACCTGCACAATCCCGAGAAGGATATTCCGTTCCTGGAAATAAGGGTCACAGGCAGTTGTGAGCTGGCTGATGTGGATGCTGGAACTTACCCTGGGTCCTCGGCAGGAGCAGCAAGCGACCACTGGGCCTCTCTTCAGCCCCCTTCCCTGTGTTTGTGTTTGTTTATTGGTTATTCGAGCCAGGGTTTCTCTCTGTAGCTTTGGAGTTTGTCCTGGCACTAGCTCTGTAGATGAGGCTGGCCTTGAACTCACAGAGCTCTGCCTGCCTCTGCCTCCCAAGTACGCATGCTTAGCTTTGTGAGTGCTGGGGATTCAAACTCATATCCTCACACTCGCTGGGAAGATGAGCCATCTTCCCAGCCTCTTAGCTCATGTTTTCATAGAGGGTCAGGAAGAAAAAGTGAAATAGAATATAGGCCAACTAAAAAAAAAGTCCCGACAGCCTCCAAGAGAAACCCTGTCTCGAAAAACAACAAACAAATACATAAATAAAATAAAAATAAAAAATCCCTCCATACTAACTGAAAGGGCTGTCTCCTCACATTTAGTGCATTGTACAATGATAGTTACATTTTGAATACCCATACTAGGTCTCACTCTTATTTGAGCAATGCATTGTGCTTATATATTGTTACTTTATTATCTAAGTCAACTTAACGGATGGGTCCTATTGTTACAAATAGTTGGCGGGATGAGAATTCAAATCTTTTTTTTGTTTTGTTTTGTTTTGTTTTTACGAGACAGGGTTTTTCTGTATTGTTTTGGAGGCTTTCTGTCCAGCCTGGCCTCGAACTCACAGAGATCCGCCTGCCTCTGCCTCCCGAGTGCTGGGATTAAAGGCGTGCGCTACCAACGCCCGGCCGAGAATTCAAATCTTAAATGTACATGGCCTAAAGCTACCCTCTCCCAAAAAGGATCTCACGCAGCCCCAACTGACCTATATAGCGGACTCCAGCGTTCAACCGGAGCAGGTATTACAGGCCAGTGCCTCCACCCCAGGGCAGAAGATTATCTGCTGGTGCGCATGCATATTAAAGCCAAAGATCGCTGACAGGTGTGTCGTTTATTTTTTGAGGAATTGAACCTGATACTGACTGATTTGGGTAGGCCGCTTATGATTCTCCTTTCTCTGCCATACCCATGAGTCAGCCACCCACCCCCCCTCTAAAAAAAGGAAAGTTATCTCCTGCCCGGTGGTGGTGGTGGTGCAAGCCTTTTAATCCCAGTACTCAATAGAGGCAGAGGCAGACGATCTCTGTGAGTTTAAGGCCAGCCAGGTCTGTTACACTAAGAAACCCTGTTTCCAAAAAATAAAAAATATTAGATTCTCACTATGCAGGCGTGGCTGTCGTGGAATTCACTTTGGAGATGAGGCTGGCATCGAACTCACAGAGATCTGACTGCCTCTGCCTCTAAAGTGCTGGGTGAGACCGGTGCCACCACCCTTAGCTGTCAGCAGATCATCTCTTACCCACCCCCTCCTCCGCCCTTGGTGTATCTGGCAACGGGTGATAATAGACAGAAAAAAACCTTGCTAACAGTGGGCAGATGGGTCTCCCCGCTTTCTAACCCTTCATTTTCAAACGGGGCCTCAAAGGGGTAGTTAGACACCGCACACGGTACACCGGCATGTTTCGTCGTGGATTTTAAAGACAGAACTAGACTGGCTGCATTCTCAGGCGTCGGTCGGCCTGCGTTTTCGGAGGATCGATCGGTCTGGCAGCACCTGTGACTGACGCCTGTAAGAGAGAGGCCGCCCTTATTTTTCCGGGAGAAGCCACGCTGAGGTTGCACAACAACAAGCCGTCGCGATGAAGACAAGGCAGAGGCCAGAGAGCAGGGGTTCACGGCTGTGTCCCCCCGGGAGGGCGTCCTTCCGAAGAAGTGCTTCCAGAGCCGAGGGACCAGAGCCGGCTCGGGGCGGTGCCCTTTACACTTTGACCTTGCCTCGCTCTCGGTCCCTGAGGTGACTTCTGGTGCCCAATCAGCACAGGGGCGGGGTCGCTTGGTCACAGCTGCACATCCCAAGCGCGGAACCCCGCTTCCCTTCGCCTGTCCTCTCCGCCCCGCCCCGCCGCGGTGAGGTCACGCGAGAGACGTCACCGGGTTATGACGTCACTGAGGGAGGGCCTTCGGGAGAGGAAGGGGCGGGGCCCGGGCGGCCCCCGCGCGTGCGCATTGGGCGCGCTGCGTGAGGAGGCGGAGGCGGCTTGTCCTGCGAACCGCGGCTGCGGCGGCGGTGGCGGCGGCGGCGGCGGCGGCGGCGGCGGCGGAGGCGGGCGCTTGGGGGGGGTGGGAGGGGGGGAAGCGCGATCCCAGAGGCCAGCGAGGGAGCGAGCGGCGCGGCGCGCGCAGCCCATGAGGCGGTGAGAGGCCCGGGGCCTGCCTCGGAGCAGCGCGCGCGGCGCCGGCCAGCAGCGGGTCGCCCTTCGTGGGGCCCGGGCGCGGCGGCCGCCCGTGGGGAAGCAGGCCGGGGCGGAGGAAGCTGGGCGTCCGGGCCCCCCCTCCCCCGCCATGGAGGGCATGGACGTGGACCTGGACCCCGAGCTCATGCAGAAGTTCAGCTGCCTGGGCACCACCGACAAGGACGTGCTCATCTCCGAGTTCCAGCGGCTGCTCGGCTTCCAGCTGAACCCGGCCGGCTGCGCCTTCTTCCTGGACATGACCAACTGGTGAGCCGGCCCCACGCGGAGCCAGCCCTGCTGGCAGCCGCCTCGCCGCCCCGAGGGAAGGAACACCCGAGCCCGCCGCTGGCGGGACAGGGCAGGGCCCGGGCCGGAAGGTGGCTGGGGAGTCCGGGCCCGACGAACGTGGGAAGAGGGGAGAAGTCGTAGTCGTGGGATCGAAGCCAAGGCGGTGTGTTCTGGGAAGTCAACAGCCCCAGGGAATGAGCCTTGTGGGGTATTTTTTTTTTTCTTCTAAATAGGTGCGAAGGAACTGGGGGTGACAGGGCTGTGAGGGGACCCGAGGGAGTGTGTTAGGTGCCGGGGGCGAACCCTGCCGGGGCGCGGGAGGGACCTCGGAACTGACACTAGATCGTGTGTGTCTCCGTGTGAGGAGCGATTAGGGGGGAAGAAAAAAAAAAGCAACTTTTTTCGGGGGAGGGAGAGCGCACACAGATGACAATCGGCTGAGCAGGACGAGGAAGGCAGAGTTGTGCCGGGGAGTAGCGAGATCTAGAAGAGGACCCGGAGTGTCAGAAGAGTCTTCAGAAAGTGGAGGAAAGGGGCCGATCTCGGGGGCGGGAACTCCGCGAAGAGACTGGAGTCCTTGGCAGGGGGTTGGTTGGCCTTGGGAGCTTTGACAAGCTTGCTGAATTCAGGGAATAGAGGGAGCGGAGACCGGCTTATTTGACCGAACACCGCTGGAAAAAATGGAGACCGGTGACTTAGGCTGGGGACCAAGGGTTTTGGCTTGTAGTTGCGTTGTACAGACTGAAGTCGGGCAGAAGACTGCCGTACGGTACCGACGTGTTTCTTGGCTCTGACAGCAAGACTTTCCCCCCTGGTGACCAGGTGGAGATTGCTGAGTTCACGCAGGATGAGGGAGGGACTGGAGACAATTAGGCTGTCTTTGAAAGGCTCCCAGGTGAAGCAATTGATCGGGATTTGGGAGAAAAGCAAGGAGGTGCGCGCCCTTTGCCCTGTGTTGGGCATTTGGTGCCCTGACTGGTAGAGCAAACTCCCGTTTATTTCCATGTTCACCAAATGCTTCAAGCAGTGCCTGAAAAGACGTTAAGTTTGGGTTTTTATCCCACTCCTTGCCTGCCTCTCCCCCATGCTTATTTATTTGTAGATGAGCGCCATGGGTGGAGTGCACGTTTGTCTTTATTTTTGTGATTACGTGTTAGTATGTGCTTGTGTGTGCAGGTTCTTCTGGAGGCCAGAGGCATCAGATTCACTTGGGCTGCAGTCAGGGGAGCTGTGAGCTGCTAGTAGTCAGGGGTACTAGGAACTCGACTCAGGCAAGAGCCGTGTGTGTGTGTGTGTGTGTGTGTGTGTGTGTGTGTGTGTGTGTATTTAGCTGCCAAGCTCTCTCTCCAGCTCCTCTGATTGTACCCCAGGATCATAGTTAACTTTCTGAGCACCCACCAGCTGACCTTAAGTCGCTGAACTCTGGAGACAGAAGCAGGCAGGTATCTGAGTTGAAGCCAGTCTGGTCTACGTAGGAAGTTCCAGGCCACACAGGGGAGCGCGTGATGAAGTAGAATGACAGGCTATTGACTAGAGTGGGTATTGCCCTAGTGTAGTTTCTGAGAGCTCTGTCCTCTGAGAGTTCTCCTGCCAGCCCGCGTCCCATGTCCTAGCGCCTTTTCCTCTTGTTTAACTAGGAAGCCTGGCGTGTTGTTGACAGTGTAAGTTTCTAGTTCACTCACTGGTGTTTGGTTTGTTTGACACAGAGCCTCCACTGCATTTCAGGCTAGCCTCAGACATGCCTGGATCCTTAGTCTCTTGAGTGCTGCTGGGATTATAGATGTGAGCTGTCAGGCCCAGCTACGTTTTTAGTGCTGCCAGTGTTTATTATTTAATTTTAGTTTATTACTACAGTTTAGTACTACAGTTATTCTGACTGAAAGACCAACTTAGTCTTATACGCTTGAGGGGTCTGTACCATCTAAGGTTGTTGCCGGGTTTGTGAAAAGTGAGGAACGCATGAGGCACCGTGGCTAAGAAAAAGTAACCCAAGAACCTGCTTCCCTAGCCAGGTGATAATGCGCCTTTAATCCCAGCACGGAGGGGTTGGGGGGGATCTCTTTGAGTTTGAGGTCAGCCTGGTCCTACAGAGTGAGTTCCAGGACAGCTTAAGTTAACACAGAACTGGGGTGGGGGGCCAAAAAATCTGACTCCAAAAAGTTGACCTGTGACCTCCATACACCTGCATGCAATATTCACACAAAGTAATGATGAATAAAGGTGGCGGGGTTTCTGTTTTGTCTCTGTTATGTGGTCTGGCTGTCCTGGGATCCCCTGTGTGGATCAGACTAGCCTCAAATCTGCAAGAGGTCTGACTGCTTCTGCTTCCCAAATGCTGGGAATAAAGACGTGAGCCACAACCCCCCCCCTTTTTTTTCTTAACTAAAAAAAAAAATCCAAGTTCTTAAAACACCACTAACAAAACAAAGCCAAAGACCACACCACTAAACTGCATTTAAGATATGTACTCAGAACCAGGGGTAGTTGTGCATACGGTAATCCCAGCACTTGGAGGCCGAGGTAGGCCGACTGCTGAGTTCAAGGCCAGGCTGGTCTACAGAGCCAGTTCTGGGACACCAGGGCTACCCAGAGAAACCCTGTCTCAAAAAAGCCAAAATCAACAACAACAATAACAACAACAAAATCAAAGACTTTATTAGATAAATAATGCACAACATTCTTTAACATTAATGAACAGATGGAAGGTGAGAAATAATGTGTCATTCAAGTCTTCAAAATGACATAGGTGTGTAAGACGTGAGATACAGACAGAAGGTGGCACGCAGCAGTGCTGAGACCGTGAACCCCTAACCAGTAAAGTTGCAGCACACTTAATAGCTTACAAACCATTGTTTTAAAGTGAAGGTCCCAAATCTTCTAAGATGAAATCCAAACTGAGATTATACTGTTGCTTTCAAAAGTATTTATTTATTTATTTATTGGTTTTTCGAGACAGGGTTTTTCTGTATTGTTTTGGAGGCTGTCCTGGAACTTGCTCTTGTAGACCAGGCTGGTCTCTGAACTCACAGAAATCCACCTGCCTCTGCCTCCCGATTGCTGGGATTAAAGGCGTGCACCACCACCACCCTGCTCAAAAGTGTTTGTATTGTTGTTGTTCCCAGAAAAGCTGACCAATGGGACTTTTTGGTCGTGTGTATTTATCATCTACTTCCTTCTTTTCTTTGTTTGAATAGGGGCTTACATAGTCTAGGTTGGATTAGAGCCCCTGATCTCCCTGCTTCCGTATTCCAGATGCTGGGATTCAGGTGTGTGTCCTTCCTGTCCAAGAAATGGTTTGGTTTCTTGTTTTGAGACAGGGTCTCACTTTGTAGACCTGTTGGTCTGGAACTCAGAGATTCTCCTTGCCTCTGCCTCCCAGTGTTGTAGTTGGTGTATACCACCACTCTGAGCTCTCTTTTGAAGATTTTTTTTTTTTTTTTTTGGTTTTTCGAGACAGGGTTTCTTTGTATTGTTTTGGAGGCTGTCCTGGAACTAGCTCTGTAGACCAGACTGGCCTCGAACTCACAGAGATCCGCCTGCCTCTGCCTCCCAAGTGCTGGGATTAAAGGCGTGGGCCACCAACGCCCGGCTGAAGATTTTTTTTTTAATTACTGTTTTTACAGAGCGTTTTTCTAGTCCTTATTTTAGCTGCCAGAAATGGTGCTGGGATCGGTAGAACTTCCTCTTCACTAACATCAGTAGTGACTTTTGCTACGTGAGGTGAGCAAGCTCACTGAAGCTGGGGGTGCCACGCTCAGGGTTAGAGCAGCTGCAGATCATCCGTGATACTCTGGGCTCAACCCCAGCACCAAACTAAATGGAATGTTTTGTGCATTAGTTACAATTTTCTATTGGTGCACCTTTTTTCAGACATGCTGGTGGGCACTGAATAAAGAATCTGTAGGAGACTAGCTGTGATGATACACTTAATTCCAATCTGAAAGAGGCAGAGGCAGGCAGATTTCTGTGCAGCCTGGATTACATAGGGAGTTCCAGGACAGCCAGGGCTACATACTGAGACCCTGTCTCAAAAAGTAAATAAATAAGAGGGCTGGAGAGATGGCTCAGACATTAAGAGCACTGACTGCTCTTCCAGAGGTCTTGAGTTCAGTTCCCAGCAACCATATGGTGGCTCACAACCCATAACGAGATCTGGTGCCCTCTTCTGGCCTGCAGGAATACATGGAGGCAGAATGTTGTATACATAATAAATAAATCTTAAAAAGAAATAAAAGAATTTGTAGGTGATCAGTTGTCTATCATCTATCACGTGGAAGAACGAGGAAGGATGCTCACCACCAAGGTTTATGTCAGTCAGGGCTAAGTGAATCCTTGTCCTGTATTCTCTCTCTCTCTTTCTCTCAATGAAATTTACCATATTAGATAGTTGGGGTTTTTTTGGGGGGGGGTTCTTGTTTTTTTTGAAACAGGGTTTCTCTGTATTGCTTTGGAGGCTGTCCTGGAACTCGCTCTGTAGACCAGGCTGACCTTGAACTCAGAGAGATCCACCTGCCTCTGTCTCAAGAGTGCTGGGATTAAAAGTGTGCGCCACTAATGCCTGGCCCTTAACTAGTTTTGAACGTACAATCTGGTGTTAAATAGCCTATAACTCCCATTCTCTAACACATTCTTTTGCTTATGTGTTCAGGTGATGTTTTAGTATAAATACCTCTGTGTGTGTGTGTGTGTGTGATACGATTCTCTATGTAGCCCTGTCTGTCTGTCTTGGAACTCTGTAGACCAGTCTGGCCTCTGCCTCACAGAGATCTACCTGCCTCTGCCTCCCAAGTGCTAGGCTCAAAGGTGCGCACCACCATGCCTGGCAGCAGTTTATTTGAGATGATCTTAACTTAGGAGTTGTCCCTGGACTGATATGTGATTTGGCCATTTTTAAGTTTATTTTATATATCTATCTGCATGAACACGTTTATGCTAGAAAATGGCATCAGATTCCACTATAGATGGATGGGAGCCACCAT